GGGTATTTTAAGTTGGAAATTGAAATGTTCCGTTTCTTCGGCTAAGTGGAAACCCGGTTCTGACAGTGATCCCCACCGACACACCAATGCACGCAACTGATAATGCAACGAAAAAAGAATTGTGCGTTACCATTCGTCATCTAATCAAGATGAAACCTACTTCTAGTTGCTAAAAATGCACCCGTTGGCCTTTTGGGTACATTTGTTCACCATTTCATAGGAAAATTTGGACTTGAGCAATGTTGCTGAATCGGATATCGACTGTTCAAGTTAGCGGGCATCCCTGGAAATCGGTGTTTTAATGCATGCGCGTGCAACGAACAGCAGCACAATACCTATCGACATGCCGCTTACTTACTGATCATATACGTGTCCGATCGCCGTAGCCTTCATCTGCGAGAACCATTGAAGTTCGTTTCGCAGTGCAGTGATGAAAACTCGTTATCACGATCATCATCATTATATTTCGCACAGTTTGAGTTTCTTGGCTAGCCAAAATCTGATCCGCAATGGACCGGGGCGGTATGTGAAAACCACAACTTTCTAGGGGGCCGGTATCCAGTTGGACGGGGTTAAATATCCCAGTCACCCAATAGACCTCGATGCCCACTTGAACCGGTGACCACTCGCACATTCAGGAAGTTATGAGTGGACGGTTTGTACGCCTCTTGCTTGTTTGGACTCGGGATTCTAACCAACTCCCCTGCCAGCTGTTATTCATCGACCCCTGTATAGCTCTGTTCATCGATCATAAAATGAGCCCCATGACATATATGAATGATTCATCTGTTCAAGGTGTTACCTGTATACATGTGCGATCTAAAACGTTGGGAAGCTTCTCGCTGCTCTGTCACGTCCAGCTTTTATATTAATGGTCATCTAATGAACTACCTTGTTCCCTTCAGTACAACTTTATCTATACCTTTTTCAATTTAAGATGTCATAGCATAAATTTATGATGTCATATTGCTATGTGAATAGTACGGTAGTGTGATCGCTCCATCGTTTCACATTGTCTTGTATTTTTTGTGATGCTCTTGTTCTCAAATCCAATCCATCCGTATGGGGCTGGCATGCATTTTGCACAGTCGAAGTTCACTGGGCATGCTAAAGACCCGCGGTTGTAGGCAAGCTGTGGCTCGCGTTAACTGGGCAAGCACCAGGTCCTTTGTTGCAACTGGGCTATCAGACCGATCGATAAATGAGCCCGATCGGTCGTGTGATTTTCGGGTCGGCATAGGAGGAGGCGGATTAGTTCTGAATTCGATGCTGCATAAGTGTTGGTAGAGAATCAGTTGTCTAACGATGCACCAAATGGGAAATTCGGAATGGAAAAAGGTATAGTATCATAGGTTTGGATCGCACGTTGTTGGTTCTCGGTTTCTCAATGTCATGACCTCCCTGTGGAGGCTTTCATTTCACCGGATTCGGGTTACCATTTCCCAATGCAAAACGACGGGAGTTGAAATTACCGGATTTACAGGAATCGGGTTCAGTGTTGTTTAAAACACCATTCTTTGTTTGAAACGGTTGACCAATACGATACGGAGGCTAAGGTCCGACCATAATCCTTATTTTATTGGTGCTAGGAACTGTGTTTGGTTCCTAATGTCTCTGGTATGCATTATTGCGTTAATTCGAAGTTTTGCATTTGCTCTCCTGGATTTTGTCTCTTCTAATTGAAGTTAGCTGATCGATTATTCCATCAACATCAGAAGACATATGTGGGCAGAATTGATATTGGCCATCAATTTCGCGTGCTATCATTCAGCTGTAAACGCACATTTATANTGAGGTCAAGTAAGATGAGAAAATTTGATATGGGGTGAACTGGACCAAACGATTTGGTGAATGTGGTGAACTAGGGAGGGAGAGGGAAGGTCATGTCACGTCATGCTATGGTAGGGTGGTATCAAGTGTGATATCATCACTACCATGGCAAAAACAGTTGCGTCACAAATGTTTTTTGAACACCTAATTGCGGTTTCAAGCGATGAATAATTATCGCTTCTAAGAATCACAAAGTCCGTGAACTTCGAGGCCTCGCAATGACTCGAAACGCTTTGGGTGCGTCTACTTGGTGACCGGAATCTAACAAATGACGGGCAATCGCACCAGGTGGTAATTTCCCTCCGCGAAGACCAAGCTATTTCGGAATATGTTCACACATTCTGATTGATAAGTGACGTTCTGTCATTCTGATATACCGCTGACCGCAAGTACATTGAAATAAATAGATACAGTTGGAGGTAACGCTAACGTCCTTTCGATCCAGATTAGTGCGTGGGAGACAACGAAACGTCTCGTAGACAATCATT